TAAACATTCTTCCTAATAAAATGCATAACATATACCACGTAAAGATTTGTTCATTAACTGTTAGTCAATTTATGAAGTATATGGAGTTTCTTTTGTGAAAGATCTATGTGTTATAGTCACATACATCCTTATATTGGTGTAGCATTTATACATCCCAGATTTTCCCTATTTAAATTTTTTTTCATAGGCCTCCTATATTCTCATATAATTTTCAAGGTGTTTCAGTTTCAATTTATGGTTCAAAATTGTGAGGGGGATCAGAAGAGACTTGGAGGCTGAATAGAAGTTTGCCAGGCAGAGCATGGAGAGTAAGTGGCAGGGACAGAGCCATCTTTTGTTAGAAGTGCACAGCTTGTGGGGTTTCAGTTTGCTGTCTGAGGAATCGCATGAAGTTTAGCTCGTAGCTTCGGTACCTGATGCAAAGTGGCAGAAGTGAGATGGGAAGTATAGATCGGAGCCAGAGTATAAAGGGCCATGTGTACCATGGTTAAGTATTTGGATTCGACCCCGTAGAGGCAGTCGTAAAATCATCACAGTATTTTAAGCACGGGCATGAAAGGATCAGATAGCCTACAGATATCACTCTACTAGCTGTGTAGATGGTTTAGAAATGGGAGTCACTGGGGACAGAGGCCAGTTAGAGGACTGTTCCCATAGTCCTGTTCCGAAATAAAGAGGACTTGCCATAGAAATGAGACATGTGTAACAGGGGGAAGAAAAAGTTTGGCAACCCACTTTATAGGTAGAATTCTATAAACCCTAAGCCAGATTTAGGGACCAGCCTGATATAGTGTAGATGGTGTGGTCAAGGGCACAGGTGCATTTAGAATTGCTGTCTCAGAGCTTTCTTAGTTGCAAAGAACAAAGATCCATTCGAGGTTACTCAACAAAATAAGGATGTGTTTAAAAGACACATTGAGGAATTTTATAGATATGAGGAACCAAAGGAAAACTGGACTACGGTGACTATCTCAGGGGCTGCAGGGACATAGTGTTCTTCCTTTAGTAACAACTATGCTTTTCTCTGCATTTCTGCTTCTCATCTTCTTTCTACTGTCTAGCTGTATCTGATGATTCATAAATCATAAATTTTCTTTCTCATAAATCTTTAGCTTGCACTTACCACCCCAGGTCTAATGCAATATAACCTTCTAGCTCTAGAACCCACAGTTAATTCTGTTTCTCAGTTGAAATTTCTGACAGAAGATCAGTTTTGCTCAATTTATATTATTAAATGGGCTCACATAAGCCATGGGCTTGGAACACAATAGACACTTATTAAATAAGTATTAAATTAATAGATGTTAAATTAACATAGGCATAGACCACAATTGTGGTCTGGGGGGAGTTGTTTCACATTATATCAAATGCAGTGTCTTATGAGAGTAGGGACATCAGCAAGGATTTCCTCAGATTGAAGAGAGCAGGAGGGTTCTCTAGTGCCTTGACTTGATGGCTTAGGTGACAGGCTAGATCTTGATGTCCTAATGCAACTGTGAAAAAATTTATAAGAAGCATTACAGGTTTGATAGGTTGGAGGATTTGGATATGAGTTTAATTTGGATGCAGTGCTATATGAGGTTCCTATTGCATGTTGACATAATTATCCCTAGTGAGCATTTGAAAATACTATTCTTGAGTAAAGAAAGACATATTATAGTGCATTGAGATAAAGATTTATTAATAGCAATCATCAGCATAGAGGCAATAATTAAAACCTTGGTGGTGGAATAATCCTCCAAAAGAAACTATATATAGAAAGACGATTAAGTACAGTCTCTGGGAATTATTTTAACACTAGGGCAGTGCTTCTTAGTTAAGGCTGCTTAACGGCATCACCTTGAGGTTTAAAATTATGTATGTATGAATCCCTGAGTCTCAATCACAGATAGCTTGGCGCAGTAGGCATATATAGCTGGAAAATATTCCCAGATGATTCTAATGCACCTTTCTGGTTAAGAGTCATTAATTTAAGGTATTGGCAGAAAATGATGAATCAGTCAAGAAACTGAGAAAGTAAGAAAGAGAGCTAGGAAGTATTGTGCAAATCAAAGGAGAAGAGAATTCACTACAAGGAATGGATGAACAGCTTGATGCAGAGTTCAAGCTCAATGAAAATTTAAAAGAATATATAGGATTTGGCTGTTGGGAAGTTATTCATTAATAAATTTTGCTTTCTCTTTTAACTATCACCTAGTTCTTATTTCTTCTTTATTTTCTTAAGGAAATCATAAAAAGGCTTTTCAGATTCTTTGTCAAACTTCAGATATGACTTGTCTAAATTTTCTCTTACCTATGGAGATATATATGTCTCTATATAACATATATGCTATATATGTGTCATATATGAGTGTATATTTGATACTGGCACTACATTTGTTGACATATTTGTACATATTTATGGGGTGCATATGAAATTATGTTACATCCATAGAATGTGTAATGATCAAATCAGAGTATTTAGAGTATCCATCATCCGAGTTTTTGTCATTTGAATGTATTTGAGTACATTTCAAATCCTCTCCTCTAGCCATTTTGAAAAATACAGTATATTGTTAACCGTAGTTACCCTACTCTGCCATCAAACATTGTAATTTACTCCTTCTATCTAACTCTGTGTTTGTACCCATTGATCACCTCTCTTCACTTCCCTCCCACACCCATACACCCTTCCCAGTCTCTTGTCTATCATTCCACTCTCTACCTCCGGGTGATCAACATTTTTAGTTCCCACCTGAGTAAGAACGTGCAACATTTGTCTTTCTGTACCTGGCTTATTTTACTTAGCATAGTGACCTCCAGTTCCACTTATGTTGCTGTAAGTGGCAGGATTTCATTCATTTTTATATCCAAATAGTATTCTATTATGTATATATACCACATTTTCTTTATCCAGTTATCCATTAATGGACACTTAGGTTGATGAAATATCTTTGCTATTGTGTAAAACGCTATAATAAACATGTGAGTGCAGGTATCCCTTTGATATATTGATTGATTTTCCTATGGATAAATACACAGTAGTAGGACTGGTGGATTATATGGTAGTTCTATTTTTAGTTTTTGAGAAATCTTCTTGCTGATTTTCACAGTGTCTGTACTAATATACATTGCTACCAACAGTGTATAAGAGTTCCCTTTTTTCTGCATCCTTGCCAACATCTGTTACTTTTTGTCATTTTAGTAATAGCCATTCTAACTAGTGTAAGATGATATTTCATTGTGGTTTTGATTTGCATTTCTCTGATAATTAGTGACATTGATCGTTTTTTCATGTACTCGTTGGCCATTTGTATGTCTTCTTCTAAAAAATGTCTATTGATGTATTCATGTCCTTTGCCTTTTTTTTTTGTTTTAAAGATATAGGGCCTTGCTCTGTTGCCCAGGCTGGAGTGCAGTGGAGTGATCATAGCTGACTACTTTGCCCATTTTTTAATGGGATTATTTGTTTTTTTACTGTTGAATTCATTGACTTCCTTGTATATTTTGGATATCAGTTCCCTGTTGGATAAATAGTTTGGAAATATTTTCTCCTGTTAAAGAGGTTGTCTTTTCACTCTGCTGATTG